TCTGGTCCAACTCTCTTATATTCTGACTTGGCTCGTTTCTGCAGACCTATCCTGCAGCAATGAAGCCCACAAATCAGCCCTCTAAACACTTAAACCTACTAATTTTATATACAATACTTATATGTACAGGAGCTACAATATTTCACTTACCAGTCTCTGCAATACAGGAGTGGCATCTGACCCGTTGAAAAAAACTCCCGGTACAGCATGACTGAAGTCCACCGCTCCATCCAGCTTGATGTTTGTGTGCTGCTGCCCAGGATTTAATCCACCACCTCTGACCCGGTCCGGACAGGTACCGCGCGACCAGAAACTGACTGAACCCTGCAGCCTTCAAACATCTGCAGCTCCCTAGATACGGGTCACACTGATTCTGGATCAAATGCAGCCCAGCTACTCAGCAGTGAAGATAAAACTTGAAGGATGAGTTCAGCTTTAGAATTATTTGAGACTTTCTTGCCAGTCCTGTGAGCTTATCCTTACAGAACTTCTGACTTTGCTTTGCAAAAACTTTCCCTCCATTTGTAGCAAGCAGTGGTTGAAACTCAGTGTTGACTTCGGGGAAGTGAACTGATGACTTCTGGGTAATGTAGTTCTTTAGATTGACAAAACAGTGAAGACTTAAAGAAAGAAAACTAGAAAATGGCTGCACTTTTTTGGGTTTTTTTGGGATATTATGTACATGTACAGTGATTCAGAAGACCTACACTGGCAAAACGACAACAACAAGAAGCTCGATGTATATTGCCCAGATTACCAGGGCCTATCTCTGAAGGGTTAGACCTAGGGAGGGGCCTGGGAAGGTACTCTTCAGTGAGTAAATGATGAATGGGCCTGTACCCATGGGGTCTGGTCAGGCACAGCCCAAAGGAGTTAAATGGGTTTGTCTTTCTGTGGGCCCACCATCCGCAGCAGGGGTCATAAGTTGTATGCATAATGCCATGGGGTGTAGCCAAAGGTAGGGTCCTGGACATTGGGCCTTGGCATGTCCCAAGTCAGCTCTTGGACATGAAATGTCATCTCTCTGGTAGGGAAGGAGCCTGAACTTGTGTATGAGGTTGAAAGGTACCGGTTAAATATCATTGGGCTCATCTCACATGGCATGAGCTCTGGAACCAGTTTCCTTGAGAGGGGCTGAACCTTATTCCCCTCTGGAGTTATCCAAGATAAGAGATGCCAGGCTGGTGTTTATCTTCTTATAACTCCCAGCTTGGTGCCTGTGCTTTGGAATTTTTTCCCACTAGATAAGAGTAGCATCCTTATGTCTTCAGGTGGGTGGGGGGGGGGGGGTAGACTCTGACAATTGTTTGTGCCTACGTGCTGGAAAAACAGTTCAGAGAACCCAGTGTCAAACTCAAGGCCTCGAGGGCCGGAATCCTGCAACTAGATGTGTCTCTGATGCCACACATCTGAATCATAAAACTGAATTAGCTTCTCAGTGCCGTCAAGTTCTCCAAAGTCCTGCTAATGACCTTATTTGATTCAGCTCTGTGGCATCAGAGACAAATCTAAAAGTTGCAGAACTCTAGCCCTCGAGGTCTGGAGTTTGACACCTGTGAAAGGTGCTTCAGCTGGAGACTACTTTATTCTGCTGGGGGACTTCAATGCCCACATGTGTAATGACACTGTGACCTGGAGGGGTGTGACTGGGAGGAATCTTATCAGTGTTTTGTTGTTGGACTTTGGTGCAAGTCACAGTTTGTCCATCAAAAACACAAGTGTTTGAATATAAGGATGTCCAAAAGTGCACATGGCACCAGGACACTCTAGGACACAGCTCGATGGTTGATTTTGGGTTCTGTCCTGGTCCCTAATGTGGTTTGAGAGAGTTGTGAATGGGTGGGGCTCAGGTCATTGCATAATTGAGGGTATTATTGCAATGGGAACGTTCTGCAGATAGGGGAATTAGTTTGATCAACCAGGGGGAGCTCAGAATAGAGCCGCTGTTCCTTTGCATCGAAAGGAGTCAGTTGAGGTGATTCAGGCACCTGAGTAGGATGTCTTCTGGTTTCCTCTCTTTGGAGCCTGTCCAGGCATGTTCCACTAGTAAGATACCTCTGGGCAGACTCAGAACTCACCAGAAGAACTGTTTATCTTCTCTGGATTGGGAATACATTGGGATTCTCCAGGAGGAGCTGGAGAGTTTTGTAGAGGGATGTCTAGGTATCTCTCCTGGACCTACTGCCTCTGCAACCTCATTATGGATAAGTGGTAGAAGATGGAGATGGAGACACATTCTGCTGGCACATGAAGCAAGGTAAGGGCACAGATGGTAATCTTGGGGACACAGAGAATACCAGGGAAACACCTTTTAGACAAGTACGTGGAGCATAGCAGCACCATGATTGCTTGGAGGAAGTATTTCAACTTTGTTGCAATCCAGCAATTTTCTCATAGGTAGTGGGGTTGTCATCCAGTGTCTTGGGTCTTGTCTATTTTGAAATGCTGCTTTTCCAGTACAGTTGTTTTATTTTTCATTTCTTTAATTATCTAGTGAACATTATTTCTCTACAACGTTCATATTCACACAGAAAGGCAGAAGATGACCCAAAAGGTTATATAACTTTGTCAAGCTTTTATGTGGGATGATAATGCTGCCAAAAAATACACCAAACACAGGAAACAAGGAATGGAGCATGCACATAAAGCTCACATACAGGGTGACCTGTAAACACAAGCAGAGGAAAAACAAAGATGGTGAATACAAGAGCAAAAAAGTAAATATTATGTGGGCTGAGTTCTTAGTGAAACTTTCACTTCAGGTCAAAATAAAAGTACAGGACCATAAAAGTACAGAACAGTGTTTACTGAGTGGTTTGCCAGTCAGATTACATGGATATAATGAACACTTCTAAAGAATAATATCCAATGAGGAACAGCTGGAAGGAAAAGTTTCTACATGATGTTCAAAGCATAAAAGACCAACTTCTTTATACACAAAAATTTGTCTAGAAACTAAACCAATTTCACAGGTATTTTAAAAGTATGCTTGATGTGTAGCATTGATCTTTATTTTCAACGTTTCATTTACTTTTGTTGACAGTTCAAAGAAGTGATTAAACCCTTTTAAAAATAATAGCATTTTTTTTGTTCTGCTTTATTCAAAGCAAATATATGGTTCATCTTTGCTCATTGAACTAACACTGTATACAAAGGTTGGTGTCTCAAGAATTTGTCACTCTGGAACCCTTTTTCAAAAAATTCAAGTCTTTGACTTAAAATACTTTTTTTTGTGTGTAAATACAAGACTGACACACATACACAAAACAGAATTCACAAACTGTTCCCATGTAAACGGTGCCTTAGTTAAAACTTTAAAATACATTTGAAAAGAAATGTTGGAGTTAAAGATGTGAACAAATGCTGTTCAGATTCTCAAACCCTGCACCATGTTTCAACGATTCTCAAAGAAAACACTTGACAGCTCTAAATGTCGATCACTACCAATAACTGATTCCCCTGTCCTAATGGTGGAAACAGTTGAAGTTGTGGAAATATCACATTAGCATTATATATAATCCAAGTTTTGCCAGCCCAGCATGTTGCTGACTGATGTTTTAGTAGTATAGGACCAAAGACCCTTTTACGTCTCCTCTGGTTAAATTCGTGCACATGAAAGTCTTGGTTATTTTTTTTCTTTATAAGCAGTTGAAGTCTGATGAGTTTAGGTGACTTTGATGAATCATAGTGTTGGTTTAGCTACAGCTCAGAGGCTGTTGTTGAGCTATAGCTGATTGTGTAGTTTCACAATCACACTGTCAGCTCATAGGCATCTACACCTTGTGATGTTTGCTGGAATACTCTTAACATCACACAAAACCTAATTATGTTTAATAGAGATGTTCCAGAGAAGATTTTTTTTGCATTTGCTTAAGAGAAACACAGCCGTGATGACTCAACAAAACTGTTGACTAAATGTAGAAGATAAAAACCTTACGTTTTCACGTTCAGCAAAACCATCCAGCTTCTGCTCATCGCTTGGATGTTTATAAAAGGATGCTTGGCACAAAGTTGTAGACTTGAGTCACTGTAAGCAGCATTAGAACCAGCTCAGTTTTATGTATGCTGGTATGGAGTCAGGGCTGCATGGTGGCACAGTTGGTAGAGCTGCTGCCTCTCAGTGAGCAGGTTGCCCCGGTTCAAATCCCATTCCAGGGACCTTTCTGGGTGGAGTTTGCATATTGTGTCCGTGCTGCGTGGGTTTTCTCTCACAGACCAAAAACATGCATGTTAGGCTGATTGGTAACTCTAAATTGTCTCCAGGTGTGAGTGAGAGAGTGAATGGTTGTTTATCTCATTTGTCTCTATGTGTCCCTGTGATGGACTGGAGACCTGTCCAGAGTGTCCCCCGCCTCTTGCACAGTAATTGCTGGACATGGGCACCAGTGACCCCTGTAACCCAAAAAGGAAGGAGCGGGTAAAGATAATGGATGGATGGATGGATGGATGGATGGATGGTAAGGAGTCAAATCGTGCTACAGGCTCTTAAGCTAACCCTTAAATCCCTGAGACAACAAAGCTCCACACTGGCATCACAACACTTCATGGGAGAGTCCAAAGAGTACCCCAGTCATTGCACAGACCCAGCTGTGGCTTTAGTGCATCTAAACATGTTTGCTTGTCATTTGCAACATCTTCTGCATCATCTGTAAAAAATAATCTGAATAGTTTTTCTGGCTTTTAAAAAGCCACACACTCTGTTTGTTTCATATTTCCAGGAGGTTGGTTAAAATTTAATTTCTGTTTTGTCAGGTGCCACGTAGAGGAGAGAAATCCAGTGTTTTGTAGGAGTAGTCACATCACTTGCAGTTTTCCCACTATTGGAATAACTGAGCTATCATTCCTTTTAACCACCATGATTGTGAAGCACATCACATAAGATTACGTATCTTCCGTCCCACTTGTAGCTGTTCAGCAGCAGGTCGAACATCCAGAATCACCTGCCAACACAAACCAAACACTGCTTGTTGGATTTTTTGATGCCACAGTTTCTCAGTGACCTATGAGGGACTTTCCACTTTCACACCAGTAACTGTAGCTGTAAAACACTTCTGGAACAAGCGCTCGGGGTCTGTCGGTTCATTGTCAGAGTCTACTCTCCTGCTCATCAAGTGTTTTCTGAATCCTTGTGGACCAAAGCCACTGGTCACTCTCAGGTTACTGGGTCCCTCACTGGGATCTCCTGCTGAAAAACAAAAGGACAGTTGCATAAAACAAAGAGTTAAACATCACCTCAATGTTTTAAACGTTTCTTGACAGTCTTTCTACAAATTAAAATGTAGGTTTATTCTTTTAAAAAATTGCTTTCTTCATCAGAGATTCATGTTCTAGTGTAGAACCCAACTTTAGCAATGCTAGTTGTACCACAGAGATTAAAAATATATTTTTTGAAACACAACAATGAAGGCTACCTATGGGACAGATCTGGTTGGCGGGCCGCACACTGACAAAGTCTTCCAGATGGGAGATGAAACATTTCTCACTTAAAGAAACTGGTCCAGATGACATGATTTAATCATTTTTGTTGTTACCACAGAGATCCTTTGCTTGGTTTAGTTCTAAAGCTAATGCTAAGGTAGGACTGGAGATAAATGAGATTGCTTGTTCTGGGTTTGAATTGACTAGTTGTCTCATGTGGAGTTCTTTAAAAATCTCTGGAGCTCATTCACAAAGAAGGGTAGGACAAAATAATGAAACTGAATAACAGATTGGTTCAGACTCTACAGGATGTGATGAAAAGGTAAGCTTTAGTAAAGTGTCACCGCTAGGTGCAGCAGAATTATTACGTAGAACATGTGACCAATCAGATTCTGATGCCAGGTCAAACTGCAACGATAAAGCCCGGCATCTCTGACATGATTGGTGTCCATGTGCCTCAGATACGCTGTCAGTTTATACAGTTACTTAAAGTTCTTTTACAAGACATTTCAGTCTGTGATGTCTTTTGGCTGTCTCATTGTAAAGCCAGCCAACCACTAGTGCACCACAGTGCTGTAGTAACAGAGGCAAAATAGCCAATATGTAAAAAAGTAAGCTACAGCTCAATAATGTGATAAACTAATGACAATAGTGCGTAACCATCCAGTCGTGGGATTAAACAACCAACAGACTAATTACAGAGGAAATGTCTTTGATTACTCACAGCAGCTTCGTAGTTAGTTTTTAAAAGTAATTCACCACAAAGATTTTTAAGGTGAGTTAATTCATTAGGTTTTGTAATTGACATGTTCATCACACAATTAATGTGTCATGCTCCACTCCTGCTCCTCCTCTACACCACTTTGGTAAAAAAAAAAAAAAAAAGGATATATTAAATTATTTATTATTATTATTTATTAAATTATTTTATTTTAAAATAAAATATTTAAAACATTTTAAATAAAATAATAAAATCAATCACTGAACAAACAGGAAGTCGTACGAGTGAATAAAAGTGAAGCCAGCAATGATGTTATGGGCACAGACTCCAGTCATAAATATTTTGAATTGTAAATTAGTTTTGTAACCTTGTACAATACATTTGTGATTTGTGCATGCCTAGATACGGACGTGTGTGTAAAACAGATTTGTATTTATAAAAAATAATTACACATGCGTAGCACATATAAAAAATAATTACACATGCGTAGCACATATGAGTGAATGGAGAAAGCAGAGTGCACTTGCTCTTCACTTTACTACACTTGAAGCAAAACAAGTAGTCAATAAAGTAGAATCATTTAATTACAGGGAATTCTATATCAAAGAATGAATATTCATCCAAACAAGACAAAATTTGTCTGAAACGTTATCACAAAAATAATTAATCAAACTAAGAACCATCAACAAAAATAAACAAACTGAACATCACAAATGATATTTTTTTGTTGGGTTAGGTGTTAATATGCATGTCTGTCTATGTTGCACTGTGATCCTGGAGAACACAGTTTCATTTCAATATGTACCTGTGTGTAGCTGAAATGACAATAAAACCGCTCTTTGACTCTGACTCTGAATAATAATTTGGAGAATAACTAGTTTGAAAAGAAGTAAAACAATAAAGGACACTTTAAACAATAATTAATCAACCCAGGATTAAATCTCTTTTCTGTAAAGTAAAATGAACTCTTAGAGCAGATTTAGGTTTTCATGTGCACACAAATTTAGACAAAATTTAACTGTTTGATAAATAGTTTACTTTGGTTGAAAGAAGTCATTTAACGTGACCAGATCGAGTCATTTGTTATCACTGCAAGCCAAGAAATGAGTTATCAAGTTACATCAGCTAATATAATTATATTTGATTATTTTTTATATAATTACATGTAATAATAATTACATCAATTACCTTTTTTTTTTTTTGTGATGGCCTGTTTACAGATTCGAAGCCAAAAACTATGTGTAGTTTATTCCTGTGAGTTTCATTGTACAAGTACGAACTCAGGAAGGTTTCAGCACCAGCACCGATCATCAGATAGAAAATGAGTCCAGTAAATGTCTCGGTCAGACATAGTTTTACATTTAGCACTGATTAAATAAATGGTTCGGACAAGATACAGAAATATAATATTAGGTGTTAAGTACCTTTCACAGAAAAATATCTATGCTACAAAACGTACCCAAAAGCATCTGATCTGACTATTAGTTCTGATAATAAACTCTTTCAGGTACTAGTGAAGACAAACAGCTCTGTAAGGAATGAATTCTGCTTCTGAGGTCAAGTTTTTACATGACTGTCAGATTAATTGAGCCTATTTCAACAGATATCTTGACATCCTTCATGTTCATTACTAATACAGAAAGAATAAAGTAAAACTTTTCAGTTTAAACACAGCTATCAAGCACAACCTTGGCATTCTGTGACATGAAATATATTATTTCTCTGGATTTACGTATTTTCTTGCTTTCTATCCTTCAAAAAAGGTTCGACACAGATCAGAATTTGTTCCTGTGTTTATGCAAACATATTTTTCTGCTTCTTGTTGGGGACTGGAACATTCTAGATAACACCAAGATGATGGAGGGCCCCCACACAGAGGGGGCCTCCTCATCAGTACCTGTGATCAGGAGCATCCTCAGATGATGAAAGAAGCATAAATATTTCAGGCTGCACAATATATTAGCTGATTATTTTATTCACAAAAAAAAAATACCAAATTAACATTTCATGAAAGCTTTTTACATAATTGATGCATCATTGTTTTATTAATTTCTTTAATGACAATATTAATCCACTGTACATCACCTTGTTTATGTTTTATAATGTTTAACCCTGAATGAACAGAAGGAACCAGTTTTGTCAGTGCACAGCATATGTGCACTATTTTATCCAGAGGGTTTAGACTTTTAGTGAAAGCTGGGATCTTCAGTCCAACAGATTCTGCAACATCAAATCCTCTGTGTTAAAATGACATCGCCTGGACTGAGGGAGTCCATAAATCCTCAGAGTTCAGTCAGCTGAGGACAGAACCCATCACAGACCAAGAAGATTCATCTTCAGTCTCATCTGTGTCAGCAGCGGTTTGTGGAAAAGGGGACAAGTCTGCTATATGTAGCAGAAATTACATCGTAAAGGTTAAAATGATTTGAAATATCTCTGTCACGTCATAAATGAAAACTGGTTCTCAAACATTCCATCTTGCAAAATAAAGGTCAAATAAAATAAATAAATAAACATATGTGAACACATCTGTCATCATCATGCTTTTCAAATGCAGATTCATCAAATATCCCTTATCTAATAATTTATTTAAGCTTACAGTTTTCCACCCTCAGTTTATTGCATTCTTTTTGTAAACTTTCACTTGTGTCCGTCATCTGTGTGGTTGCTGCTCTGTTGCTCATCCTCAGCAGGAGGAAGTTGTGCCACAACTGAAGCAACGTTGACGCCCACTACATCCTTCATCTGTTCCTCCATTTTTTTCTTCTGCGGGCTGCTGAGCTGCTCGTACCTCTGCATGTCCCTCGTTCTCGTTCACAAATAATAAAAAGTGCAGTATTTTCACCAAATGTCAGTATTAAAACATGATTAACACCAGTGGATGTGTTTGCATGAACTTACATGCACCTGTCAGCAACAAATCATGTGATGAAGACTAAATCAGCAGTTTGCATGCACAGAATTAACGACAGAGGAATCAGGAGGAAAGGTTTTTACAGAGTTCAAAACTCCTTTTGTTAGATGGTCAGTAACATGTTTTTTTTTATCAGTGCTGAATGTTAAATCTTGTATGACAGAGCCATTTACTGGACTCATTTTCTATGTGACTCGTGCAGGTAGCTAAAAGCTTTGTCTGTTCTTGTTGACAGCATTTAGCTTGTCTTAGCATTAGCATGTTTTCAGCACTATCTCATTATGTTATTAGAGCTCATCCATTAATCTTAATTACATAAAACCTTAGCAACAAGCACACAGAACTAAACACCCAAATCTAAACCCGCAAAGTAATCGTAATCTTACCTTTGATCAAATGTTTGCTACAAAAACAAGTGTACTTCAGTGGCTGTCAATATTTCCTGGTTCTTCACCTTGACACAACAGCGTTAATGATCACTCCAGATCATCACTGTGCACCACAATCATAGGCGTCGCAACCATTATATGTGAAGGGGACAAGTCCCTCCCACATTAAAAAAAACGTTCATTTGGACCCCCCCCCCCCCCCCACACACACACACACACACACACACACACACTTTTACTATGAAACATTAGTTCAGGCGGCGCAGTTTCTCTTTCTTCGTGAACAAATCCATTCCACTTGATTAATAGGAGAATACTGAATCTAATAAAACTCCACTCCAGGTTTTCCTGGTTACCTCCAGGTTACCTCCACCTCTACACACAGAGCAGAAACTGTGCAGGCAGCCGCTACTGAGTCTCCTGCTTCGGTAGAAAACGTGCACAGGTGCAGGAGATGGAGACACCTCTGTGTTGCTCACTCGCCAGTTTAGCAGTTAGTGCGGGCAGTTGTTGACCAGGGGGTTGATCATCAACATATACCTGTAATCATGTTAGGAGGATGCTTGAGTGCAGCGCTACGTCTATAGCATGTTCTCTTAGCAGTAAGTGTGACGCTGTCACATGCTGCAGGTGTAAGAGACGCTGTGTGTTCAGGAGCATTAAAGTTGAAATGTCTTTAAAACCCCACACCTTATTGTCCTCAAGCATCGTGAGAAACATCATTTAGATGAGTAGTGTTGAAC